CACGACCACACCAGTCCCAACACGACCAACCAAACACAACCCCCCCCCCCGGAAGTATCCACGAGGGCCGACCCCGAGGAGGGCACACCACCTCCAGTTTCTCTGGCGAGCCCTCCCACACCACGCTCGGCAAGAAGCACATTGCGGTCTTCCAGACCGCCTCGAGCGAGGTTCCGGTGCAAATCCTGAACCCGGACAGGTCGGAGAACAGACTCTGCTGGCTGCCTTCTCAGGAGGTAGCAAAGTTCATTGACGGGAGGTGCCCGACATTCCTGTCTACATGCCACTTCAAAGTTTTCCACGACGGGGCGACACTCAGCTCGGTAGACGAGATTGTAGAACCCCCGAACAGTCCCCCGAACCCCCCTAGGGTGACCACTCTCCATGAGGTGGACACAATGCTCCGACCGGGGCAGAACCAGTAAGCATGTCTTTCACCTCTACTACCACCCCTTCTAAAGCCCCATGTAAGAGCACCCAGGCCAAAATGAAATCTCCGAATGTTAAAGTCATCACGGCTAACATCGGCGGTTTTAAGATGGCGGAAGCGCTTAACCGATTACCCGACACCATTGTAAACATTATTCGAACTACTCACTACCCCGATCTCGTCCTTCTTCAAGAGACGAACTGGGTGGACTCCTCCCTACAAACCGCTCAACAAATCATTTCAAACTCGCCCTACCCGGGGGGCAGACACTACACCCTCCTCGGCTCCACAGCTGGTGTTTCTAATAGAAGCGTCGGCGTGGGGCTAGTCTATTCCGACAACGTCACCATCACAAACTTTACAACAGTTTTTGAATACTTCCCAGCCCTAGACAACAGACTGTGTTTGGCCGACGTGCACATCAAAGGCACCGACAGACACCTATCGCTGATCAACGTATACGCACCAAACGAGCAGGGAGCCTCCCCCTTCACTAACCGGCAGTTCTACCAGTCACTAGACGACTATCTACGCCTCCATCCCTGCCAATACCCCCTGATAGCGGCAGGCGATTGGAACGCGGTCGCCTCCAACGACGGCAGGATTGGCGAAAAAGTGACGACTCACCTTAAGGACTTCTTAGCTAACTGGGACTTACTAGACACCTACACTCTAATCAGCAAACACAGAAAAGGCCTTTACACTCACACCAACAACAGCCGCGGAGCGGGCAGGCGCCTGGATCAGCTGCACATCTCTTCGACACTCTCACAGTGGATCAAATCCACACAACTGGTAACCAACAAGCAGGGTCACAACATCACGAAGTCCTCTCACCACGCGGTCCAATTCGTCTTTAACTTTGGCAACCTCACCCAGCGACAAGACAGAGGCCCAGGCACCTGGAGGATGCCCTGGTGGGTTTTTGATACAGAGTACATTGCTTGGCTCAAGTTCCACGTCAAATCCATTCTGAAGCGATATGGTCCTTTGAAGCCCAGCCTGAAGCTGCAATGCCTGAAAGAAAACATTAAGGTCACCATCCAACAGGAAGCCAAAAACCGCGCACTTCGAGATTCCAACCACCCAGACAACAGACGCCGCGAGGCCCTCATGGCAACAGCCTCAGACTGGCAAGCCTACCCAGCTAACGAGCCATACCCGATGCTCCATGCTCGGGTCGAACAATCCAAGCAACAGATGGAGATCCACTCCCTACGGAACCACCAAGGCCGAGTGAAGACCGACACCTCCTCTCTCTGCGACATCTCAGCTCGATACTTTGACAACATCTTCGACAGAGCTGCCGATATCAACGACACCGACGACAGCGCCTTTTTAGACCTCTTCCCCGAAGAAACCCGGAGGGTGAATACAGCTAACCCAAGCCTGGACTCGTCTTTTACCAAGGAGGAGATCTTCGATACCATCAAGGCGTCTACGCACAACAGCGCGCCAGGGCCAGACGGCATCCCGTACAGGTTCTACCGCGACTGCTGGGATGAGCTGGGGGACTTGATGACGGACGTCTACAACGAAGCTGGAGCCGACTCGCCCATCAGCACCGAACGCAACACCGCTATCATCAAACTACTGTACAAGTCGGGAGATCAGGCCGACATCTCCAACTACAGGCCTATTTCTTTGATCAACACAGAGGTGAAGATCTACACACAGCTCATTAACAAAGCCATCCAGAACATTCTTCCGGACAGCATTCACGGCGCCCAAAACGGTTTCGTACCGGGTCGACACATCACTAACAATCTCGACACCATGGATCATTTTTGCAACGCCTACTCCCAGCTGAACATGGGTTGGGTCGTAGGATCACTGGACTTCCGGAAAGCCTACGACACTATCAGCCAGAGTTGGGTGATAAAGACGCTTCGAAATGTGGGTGTCTCGGAACTGATGATCAACCGTATCCTAGCTGTACAACAGAACGCAGTAACGAGAATCAACATCAGAGGTGTCCTATCTCGCCCAGTCCGCATCAAGATCGGAGTGAGACAAGGATGCCCTCTCTCTCCAACCCTCTTCATCATCGCAGTAGACGCACTTGTGCGTCGTCTGGACCGAGAGATGTTTGGACTGGCCCCAGGCCTGCCACTATCCCACCACCACACCACAGGGCACAGGCCGCCACAACCCCCTACTCACCCGGAGGCAGTGGCAGCTGGACACATGAAGGTGTCGGCTTTCGCGGACGACATAGCGGTGTTCCTCAACAACATCCAGGACGTGGCCACGGTTGGTAGAGTGCTCTGCCTCTTCCAACGGGTCTCAGGCCTCACACTAAACCCGTCAAAGACGGTGCTTCAGAAGATCGGCCCCCCCGATTGTTTTGTTCCACTAACCTTTATTGACGCAGAATGGCAGCGAACAATTGACGCCACCTGGCCAACCGACAACAACACACGACAGGCCCCGACGCTCCGGACATCTGACAACATTTTCCGGTACCTCGGAGTACACTTCGGAAATCGCGAAAGGTTGGACACGCACTACGCTCAGATCAAGGAGGACCTCAAGGAGTCGCTGCGACGCCTTTCACTATGGGGTCTCCCCTATTACAGCAAGGCGTGGATGATCAACATCTACTTCTTCTCGAAACTGAATTTCCTTGGACCCTACGTCAGCCAGATCGACAACACCTTCATCCGAGAGCTGAACGAACTAGCGTGCGACAAGATCAACAAATTATCACCCGACAAAACACGCAAAACCTTCAGCAATGGTTTCATCCAAACTCCGGTAGGCAGAGGAGGACTGAACCTGCGGGACATGGGACGTTTCATGGTGTGCCTGAAGGCCGCTCGGGCTTACAGGTTCTTCCATGGCTCATCGCCGGCCCTTTGGGACTGCACCTTCCAGTTCTACAGCAGAACTCACAGTCTCACACAGGAAAAGCCACACCAGCGCGTCGACTGCCGCTTTCCGACAGGCCAAGCTTGGGGCTACGCAGCCTCCCCCACCATGCGAGACGCAATCAGAGCTTCTTTCGAGCTCAACAAGCCCCTCACCGCGGAACATGCCAACCCTCGAGAAGATCACGAGCCCTCTACAACAGACACAGTTAATCACAGAATCTGGGAACGAAACCAGGTGAACGTGAGAGCAGCAGAATCTTTCCGGGAAGCGCACGTCGACATCGCAGCCGCGAGACGATACCATCCGGTCAGAATGGTGTCCACAGCGGAAATCGACCACCTCCGGTGGAGCATGGGACCACTTACTCTAGAGAACTTCATGTTTCACAAGACCTCGTCTCCCGACTTGCCAAACTTCCCACACACACTTGCACGACCGAAGAAGTGGACTCAACGAAGCGACTACGGGGGCATCGCTGACGACATGGTCTGGCAGGAGGTAATGCATGACCTTCGAAAACACTACATCGCCGACGCCAACAAAGCACAAGTTCTTCACCTCATGCGGATATCTCGACTTCCGCTCGTGAAATGGAGATACCCTGACGACCACGTTTTCACCAAGAAGAATCCAGGATGCGGGCTCTGTGATAAGGCCATCATTCAGGATCTGCACGAGCATATCTTCTGCAAGTGCGAAGTTCTTCTTTCCATGTTGACCAGGATGAAGATTCCGTCAGTGGACTCTCTAAAGGACTGGATCTTTACCGAGTCGAAATGTGGAGTACTCCCCTCTTTCCCAGGGCATGTGAACAGTGACGCCCCCCGGAAACATCAACAAGTCAAGACACGCAAATATCTGCGGGAATTGGCTTATGGGATCTGGAAGATGGAGAGATCCCTCCGGTACTCAGGGGACGACGCCACCCTGGGACATGTCCAACAGGGTTTGCTTCAATTCCTGAAGGAAGCCCAGATGTGTTTCTACGATGGACAACCGCCAGCACTTCACGATGAGCGAGAGTAGCGACAGTAGCAAGCGTAAAAGGCGGCCGAGGCCACCGAGAGAACAGCGTAGCAGGGCGCGTAGTCACCACAGGGGACGCAGAACCAAACCAATGACGAAGAAGAACCACAAGGAGACGTTTTCAAAGGCAATGCAAACGAAGAGGGCAATGGAAGGATTGAGATTAGAGAACTGGAGACTGGAGTGGCGTTTTCCCGATGAACGAACAAACACGCGAAGCTATGTGGACCAACATACAACACGGACTGAACCAGGTTTTTTTATGATTTTTTTACTGGAAATAGGTACGTGCCAAGTTGGACCATGACACTAAACGTGTTTAATTAGTAATATTCGTGTAAGCGTACATTCATTTCAAAGGTTATTCTTTCAAAGCAAAGTTATAATTAAATGAATGTATATGCAGAAAAAAAAAAAAAAAAAAAAAAAAACTATACTTACATCATCATCAACTGTCAGCTTGCAACTCTCCAAGATCTTACACCCTGATTGTAACCCCTGGCTCTGTTTCCCACGAATTTCTCACCCGCAATCAACTATATATAATGTCTCATCTCTTTCCCTACATCGCGTACTCCTGATAATAAGCTCTAACAACCTCCCACATGCATTGCCATGTGCACATTGCACACCAACTTAACAAGCCAAGTCACCATCATCACCATCATCCATGTCGTCATTCCTCGGGCTCTTTAAGCGGTCCGACCCGTCGGCCAATTACGAAAAGGAGCTACAGGTTCTCCAGACCAAACTTGCGGAGACAGAAAAACGGCTTTTATCGCGACGTTTGCGACTCCGACGCACCAAGGGTCTGTTCACTCTTTACTCGCTGGTCGTCTACATTGTCTACGTGGGCATTGTGGTCGCCAAGAACCAGTTGAGCCGTGACCAGCTGCTCTCCGGCAACAGACTCACACTGGGTGTGCTTTTGGGTCCTCCCGCAATCTACATTGTGCGATATGTGATCCAGGCTGTCTTGGGTCGTTTTGTGTCTTTCGACGAAGACAGAATCAAGTATCTGCGACAACAACAAGAGGGCAAGCTGGAGGAGCTCAAACAGAAGACAGGATTCTACTCCACCAAGGCCATTGTCGATCGATACGAGCCCAAGAAGAAGGAGGTCAAGAAACCCGCCCAGCAGCAAGCAAACAAACAGAATGCACCTACTAACAGACGACAAGGCGTTCCTCCTCCCACAGCAAACGTGCCTCGAAACCTTCCCCCCACAGCTAACGTTCCTGCCGTGCCTGTCGTGCCTGCCCCTGGGCCAGGACCCAATGTACCTGCTGCTGTTCCAGCCATCCCCAAACCCGTGCCTGTTTCGGAGAAGGAGGTTCTGGCAGCGAAGCAGTCGCTGGACAATGCCGGCGTTTCGGTAGCGCCAGTTTCTACCGGTCCCTACCAGCGCCAATGGTTTGATCGAGTGCTGGACCTGCTTGTTGGAGAAGACGAGAGCGCCGCTCAGAACAGACAGGCACTGATTTGTAGCAAGTGCCACAATCACAATGGTCTCGCTCCATTTGGCAAGACTGCTGCTGAGATCAGATACAAGTGTCCTAATTGTGGAGAGTGGAACGGAAACCTGGTTCCTACCGAGGCTGTCGAGCTTGTTGAGGAGGTGAAGGAGGAGAATGAAAACGAGAAAGAAGAGGCTGAGGAGGAGGAGGGCGATGCAGTGGTTCCTTCAGAGGTGAAAGAGTTGGTCTCGGAGATGGTCTCTGAGGTTCCTGAGGTGTCCATGGCAAACTAGCATAGCATGTATGAGTAGATGATTGAATGTGTTTATGATTGTGGTATACTAGTACAGCCAGTTAACATTTACATTGTAACATGAACGTGGATGCAAATAGATCTAGATCACCTGGGATCAGGGGGTCTTTTGGAGAGCAAGACCCAGGGACACACTTTATTGAGCTACAATACACATTGATCTATACCAAACACAATGTCCGTCTTGTACAAAAGGCGTTGTGAATCTTTAGTGGCCCATTCTACCTTCTTGACCCATTGATCCACTTGTTGCTACTTGTCTGCGCAGTTCAGTCCCTAACATTATGTACTACATCGTACCTTCTTGTAATACAGTAACCAAATGCATCCTCCATCGTCTATTTACTCTCTTGTCTCCCTACTGGTCCTTCTTCAGCTTCTTGACCATGAGATAGGCATCCTTGGCCGGGGTCAGGCGCTTGTAGTAACCCTTGACCTCGTCGACAATCTCAAAGCCTCGCTTCTTGTACCACTCAATCACCTCCGTGTCGTCGGTCAGAGCATGGACGCTCAATTCCGGAACAAAGGTCTCGGCCGCGTACCGCTCAATGTGATCCAGCAGCATGCCTCCAATGCCGTTTTCCCGGTAAGGTGACAGCACGGCGATGGTCATGATGTAGATTCGCGACGGCTTGGTGTGTTCGGGGGCCACCTCGAGGCAGCATCGGATCGCTCCAACGGGGATCTCGTTGTAGTAGGCAAGTTTGGCCAGCTGGCCCACCGTCAGGGCCTCGGTGTAGAAGGAGTCGGTGTACGACGTGGGCAGGACGACCGAGTTGATGCGTTTGAGCATGCCCAAGTTGTTGGGAGTGAGGTCGTCTAGCTGGACTTTGCTCATTGTGGGTGGATCGGTGATTACGGCGGTTCAGTGGATTTCTCGTCTGCAATATCTCCTGTGACAAAAATAAGCTTTCGGGATGCACCACTGGTGTGCTCCAGACCTGAAATATATCCGGCAGGTTAGAGCTCTGCAGTTCGATTCCAGCTGGCGAAAGGGGCGAGGGGAAAGGGAAAGGAAAAAAGGAAAACAGGGAAAAAAGGAAAACAGGGAAAAAAGGACAAGAAAAGGAGAAAAGATGAAAGTGTTGATGAAAAGAGATTAATGGTTGGCAGGAGGTGTCTCGAGATGTGAGATACTGTATGTACTGTACTATATGGTCTGTACCACGAGGTGTAATCCCCCTCTATCCTGTATTGTCTGCATAATACATAACTTTACTTGGGATTAATAAAATAAAAATAAAAATAAAAATAAAAATAAAAATAAAAAACATATATTGTCATTTCAATTATGTGTCTACTAAGTGTTATCCAACTACTTGTACGACGTAATACTCAGTGTAGGCCTATGGTATTGGCATGGTGACATGCGCAAACTCACTCGACCTTTTCTGGTATGTCTACGCGCACTCCAACTCCGATAGAGAGGCAACGACAGACATCCCTCTTAACGTCTATAACAAATCAAACCGGACATGAGGAGAAATTTTCCTAGCGCGGCCCCGATTGTCAGCGTGCGTGGAACGCCTCATCAGTACTGGCGTGGCTGAAGAGCTGGGGATCTTTCGAGACTAAGGGGTTCGGGTTTGCTTATGTGACCTCCAATATCTTGTCAGCTAGAATGGTCACTGGGGTAATGAGTACACTTGTGATATAAAATGATGTTCTAATACGTGTATTTGTACGGAATGACACTGGTGTACCTGATATACTGTCCTGTTGGCCGATTATCTGCCTGCATTCTTGACAATTGAATGTATAGAAGTATCATCTACACTTTTAGTAGTAATGTACATACTGTACTGTACTTGTTCACCTATATCACCAAGCGATATCTACTCAACTGAACTCCCCAAAGTCAAACTCCCCAAAGTTGAACCCGCGTTCGTCGTCTATTGAGATGTCTATCCATGTCAGGCTACATCATTGTTTAGCTCGGCACAATGTTTCGAACATGAACAGTTTCGCATGATTCTTTATATCATCAAGTGTTCATTGAGTATACTATGGCATAGTAAATAACTGCAAAGAAGTGTTCATCCAGTTCTCATCCAGTTCTCATCCAGTTCTCATCCTGTTCTCATACAGCTCATGCAGCTCTAAACCCGCGCATCAACACATCAGTGCTCCTATAGACAGAGACCCATGTCTTCACAGATCCACCTCCGACACGTGCTCACCATTATTTGGATTTGATTTGCATTTTTTGCATATATAAGTTGTGAAAACTAAATCCAAATGTTTTCTTTTTTTCTTTTTTTTCGTGAGCAAATACGCCGTTCGGAGTTGCATGGTGTAAATTACACGGCTTTGCGACGTCACCAGTCTCCAGACAAGGGCGCTTAATGAGGCAATTAAACGAGTTGTGCAGAATTATATTAGACAAAGAAATGGCTTGGATGTGAGATTCGGCGGTTGTCCTTTCGCATTTCTCATATCGTCGTCTCCTACAAGTGTACAAGCAAGTGAGTTATAAGTCATCATATCATCAATTAGTTATTTACATCATTAAAGCGTTTTTAGAATCGGGAAAGCATAGCCAGCTATGTGAAGGAAAGTGGGGATGGTGGGCTTTCTACATCTTCTTCTCCTCCTCCATGCCCTCGGAGATCTGAGGAATGTTTTCGGGAGAAGTAGAGGCCTCCATATCGTGATGCTGCTCGTACTGAGCCTCTTCGTCATGGGGGTGGATCTTCTCGTCAATGGAGGAAGAGTCAACCTCGGAGTCAGACTGAGTGGGCTCGTCGGTGTCACCAAGGTAGACGTTGGGCAGAGTGAAGGCGGCGACAAAAATGAAGCCAGCAATGATGATGGGAGGGTAGAGAAGCTTTCGGTAAATGTCGTTGAAGGCGGTGACAATGGCCTCTCGCTCGGGAGTGCCCCAAGGGTACAGCTTGATGGGGGCCATGAGGTTGTTGACCACCTGGTGGGCCTCTCGAGGGGACAGGAAGGGCGCGTGCTTGGCCAGCTGCTTGGGGTAAGACTGTCGGTAGAGGGTACCGGCAATGGCCTCAGCCACAATGGAGCCCACGGTCATGATGGACTGGTAAATGGCGGTGGCTGTGACCACGTTATGATGGGGCACCACGGCGTGGATCATGGAGATCATGGGGGTTTGGAGGAAGCCGGCTCCAACAGCCTCCACACACTGCGAGACAATGAACTGAGAAAGACGGTGGGTGGGCTTTCGGTAGTTGTAGGTCAGACCGATACCCAGCATGTAGATAGCGGCTCCGGCGATAATGACAGGCTTCATTCGCTTGAAGTACTTGGCGTAGGCGGCAGCAAAGAAGGACGAGACGGTGGAGCCGACCACAAAGACGTTTACGGTGTTAGTAGCTGCCTTGACGGACAGGTTCTTGCACACCATGAGCCAGGGCAGGTAGTAGGTTCCGTACAGGAAGTAGGCCAGAGCGTAGCAGAAGATGAGCAAGCAGGTGGTGAACATGGTTCGGTTGGTAATCACGTAGGAGGGCATGAACGGGTACTTGGGTCCAAAGATCTCCCAGAAGGGGAAGATGAACAGCAGGATGGGTCCGATGATGATCATGACCAGAATGTGGGCCTGGCCCCAGGAGGTCGGAGAGGTGGCCAGGGTGACTGCCAGGAAGAGAAGACAGAGTCCAGCAGTGAACAGAATGAGACCAACCATGTCGAACTGGCTGAAGGTGCCTCGGAAGTTTCGCACGGCCTTTCCGTATTCCAGACCCATGGCTCGGGCTTTGAACTTGAGTCGTAGCAGAATGATACACACAGGAATGGAGACCACGGGCATGATAATGCACCACATTCCGTAGCCCCATCGGTAGGTGGAGTTCTTGAGCACTCCAGAGGCGATGGGAGCCGATACCCAGGAGGCCCAGACGTAGGCAAAGTTGGGCAGGGCCAGGAAGAAGGTACGGTTTCGGAGGTTGGAGGTGTCGGTAGCGAAAACAGCCTCCATGAACTGAATGCCCACTTCGCCAGACACGTAGAAGATGTGGGCGGCAAAGTAGGTGGCAATGTTGGAGCCTCCCGCCAGCATGGCAAAGCCAATGATGTAGAAGATGATGGCGAGCACCAGAGCCTCGACTCGACCCAACACGTCGGCCAGCTTAGCAATGGTGGGTCGAGTGACGGCGTAAAGAACAGATCGCACAACTCCAACCGCGGACAAGAGACCCAGCTCGTTGAAATGGGAGGTAGCGACAGCAGCATAGGTGGAGGTGGTACCTCGCTCCAGAGCCACCACTGTGGAGACCAGCATCAGGGAGATCCAGGCAAAGAAGAGCATCTTCTTGTCCATGAACTGCTTGATGGTCTCAATCTCCTTGGCTCCGTCGGCCTTGTTGTTGGAGTGGTCGTGGGTCTTGGTGGTGACTACGGTCACATGGGGGTCGAAGATGTACTTGATCCAGGTCTCGTTTTTCTCCTCCGGGGACCGGTGGAAGGGGTTTTCAAAGGTGGCCTTCTGGAAGTGGAAGCTTGGTTTGTGGAGGATCGCCATGGTCGTTTGATCTGCCCTCTCAATACAGCGTGCCCGGACCCTCTATATAATGATGGACCTCGCCTCGGGTTTGATCTAATCAATCTCATCTGAGACACCTTGGGGGTTGTTTTCTGCATCGTATGGTCCATACGGCATGGTATTGGAAACTGTAGCTCCTCGGTTTTGCGCTTTTCACCTGCAATTTACCTTCCGCTGAGCTTGGCACAATCATCGTGAAGATGACAGTTTGGCAAACCCAAAACTATTCCGAAATCATGGAGTACAGGAGCCTTGCAGATGCAAGCATTTTCCACTAGGCTTGAGACTTTTTTTGCGCTTCAGATGAAAATTTGGGCTAGGTTTGTGGGTTTTTAGCATCTCGAATGTTGAGCGATTTACGTCGTTTGGGCGGTTGAAAAGAACATATTGTTGGGGTTTTTTATACTGTTGTGTAGCTCTGGATGAGACGAGAAATCTGGTCAAGTCAAACTCCTTACCTTCTGGCCGGAATATCTCCATATCGCCAGAAAACCCCATAGAGTTAAACTCATGAACCTAGCTATACAGAGTTATCTGGTAAGGGGCACACGACTTAAATTAACTGGGCGAAAAATGGACATTTTGGAGGGGTTTTTGGTACCAATGGATTCTTCTCGGTCTGTAAAAGAAAACGGTGAAGTCCCCATCCACCCCTGGGCCCTGAAAACCCCCCAAACGACCCTTCTCAACCTTAATGGACCCTCTTCAACCCTAACGTCTCTTTCTCCTGCACCGCTTAATTCTGTCTTAAATTTTGTCGACTGTACCTCGCCATCATCCCATGTTGAACCTCTGTCGGCTCGCTCCGTGTAGGAAGTCTGTTTTGGTAAGACACTAAATTTCTTGGCTCGGCCTTAAGCAGGTTGATAGAGTGGGATACAGTTTGGAGGGCGGTTTGGGCGGTGTCTGGGACCCAATACTGTCTGGATCCACCCACAAACACTTTCATCTTCCTCGTTGCCGCCAGACGATCAATTTGCATGTCTCAAACCGCCCGCTTCGACTTCTACGCGTGCTTCTGGAACGGTCGCATTGCATGTCCCTGAGCCTAAACCCTGGAGCTTCGGTCAATATAGCATCTACGAGTACAGTACGCAAGGGAAGGGCCAAGACATGCGACATTTTTGTGTTTCCAGGCCCAGACCGGTCGGTGGGCGGCTGGCAGGGGAGAGGCACGGACGAATTGCGTGCCTGACAAGCACATATCTGTGAAACCCCCATGATGTCACCAACCTGGAGCAAGCCAACAACCACACTGCTAATTGCGGCGATACGAGGGTATTTGAACGTCACCAAAGAGCGACCGGCGATTAGAATTGGTCCAAATTGCCTAGCTGGGCGGCTAAACATCAACCACAATTGGTACACAACCAGGAACAAGCCGCCGCCGTCGCCTAGATGACACGGTCAAGAGAATTCACTCCAACCTAGTATAAAGCATAAATTGGGTTGTGCTCTAAAAAGATGCAAAAGTTCAACAGGAACAAAAAAAGAAGAAAAAGAAGAAAGAAAAAAACAGACACAAGATACGGTTCAAGCTGCGGGCCCGGGGAAACTGGTCATAGTGTAAGGATGAACAGTACAGACCGACACAGGCGCGTCATCGGCCAGACTTTTGCCAAGCCAGACATTAGTATTCTGCCAAGTATCGCTATACGATTATCGTCGGGAAGCGACAATCTGTGAGCTAAAGTGGTTTCCACGGACCAAAAGCCGCTATGCTAACAAAAGGACCATTTGGATATCTCCTCCAACTCCATGACGCTCCAAGCTTCACGATAATATCAATTATAGTCGAGGTTGAGTGTGTCTTAGTGGCAGATTGGCAACTCTCCCCAAGTGCAAGTGCAAGTAGACTTCTTTCAGGCTTGTGTCAAACTCTAGCACTAGCTACATTAGAGAACCCCCACCATGTCTCTCTTGTCTCTCCTAGTCCGGGATCGTCAGACTTGGCGTTTTAGCTTGCCATCCCATTGAGCTCTTTCTGCCATCACTATAACTATCATTTATGGGAAGCGGGACTCCTATAGGACCAACTAACAAGGGGGATCTATTACTCGTACCTATACTCTATGCAAGAACGTACGGTTTCAAGCCCTTTGCTGTCATTTTGACTTGGGATAGCGGGTCCCGAACGGCTCCGGCATGCTATACACATGTGTCTGAGTGGCTTTCACAGGTGATCCAATGTTCAGATGCCAGCTCTTGGTCAAACTAACAGTATGCCAGCCTTGGAGAGCAGTAGAGTTAGGAGATGGACTTGGGGGCGCGCAGATGAAGGGCTGTGTAGACAGAAACTACACCATTTTGAAGGGCTAAACGAGCTGAATCCAATGGTACCATTCTCTCCCTTCAATTGCATCTCCCTCGTTTCATATCGTCGACGTGTGCTAAGGTTGGCACTCCCCGAAAAAAGGCAACGCACACATGGCGGGGGTGAATTTTTCGGTTATCGCGACCCAGCTCGGCTCTTGAGGGAGAGTTTAAAAAAGCAGTTTAGCACACAAATAAGCAGCTTCGTACCAGAACTTTTTTATCGCAAAATGGGCCCTTGTGTGACAGCATTTCAGCCCGTCTTTATGATTGATTTTTTTTGACTTCCTGACAAGGTTGGAAGGGGAGGAGATAGCATTTGGGGGCTCTGGTTTGGCGTATGGGGGGACTTTAATGGTACCGTTTAAATCGCCTGGTGCGGGCGAGCAGAATGGTACTTTTGGTTCTTCTGAATTCCTCCTGGAACCTTTTCTTTAGGAGTTCTGATTGTGTCTTGGCCGAAACCCTGTTGTCCCTTCCAACCTTGGCATCATTGGACAAGATGATCAGAGATGATCAAAAAGATCTAGAGTTTCTGTCAGCTTGTTGACCCCCTGTGAGTATGGTTGCATCACGAGCTTCGCGGCATGTTGGGGCGCCTAATTTCAGATATTGCCAATCTCGGAGGAGTTAACTCTGTCCAGCAGAAGATATCAGGGTGCCAGAAAGTTGTTTCCAGACAAGCTGTGAAGATACAGGTGTAATGTCGCTCGCTCCGAGGAGATCCGAGAGTGTCACGGATCTATTTGATCGGGGATCGGTAGGAATTGCTAGGCCGTAACGTAGTCTCAAGTGTACGCCTATGAGTACGGTATGTCCAAGTGGGCCCTGTAGCTGTAGCTGTTCCGACACACTCCAAGCTGATACATCCTACAAGCCTGCGTGCGCTTGTTGCAGGTCGTATACGGAAGTGTTCGTGAGCGATGAACAAGTTGCTTTTGGCGGTAGGCTGGTGGAATTAGTGGTGGTAGTTCCGCCGTGGACCCACTCGCAGACTAGAGGCTGTTGCCTCGCATGTAGAGCCAGCCGCTGTTAGATTGGCTCCCCGTTATCTCCTAGAAAGCCGTAACAAGTGTCTCGCCGTGCTAAGACATGGACATTGGGCTCTTCAGAGTTGGCATATGTCAGCTGAAGTGGCAGAAGTGGCCGAAGAATCGGAGCAAAAGCCAAGACTCGGGTCGGTCCACGAGCTGTGGTGTACCTACACTAAAGATGCGGGGAGAGAGGTCTTGGGGGTTCTTGGCTGAAACCACAACGGTTTCATCAACTGTTCGATGCAGTCATGCGGGTTTACTGGTTCTATGGGATGTTATTCTACATGGACAGCACCTGACTGGCCAGGCAGTACACGGCACAGCGGTCTCGCTACGATACTATAGACAGCAATAACTCTACGATGACGTCCTAAAACAGACAATGTAAACCCAAACGTTTGTTCCTGCACCGGGGAGCTTGAGTCTAGAGGGGCAGAGTGTGTGGTATGTACGATACAGTAAGTAGTGTGTGCATTCGCCGTGGTCCAGTAGGAGTACTCATAACTGGCTACATTGTGTACCAAAATGTATGGTGGAACCACTTCAGTCATTAATTGGCGTGATCACTGCTGGAATCTCAACTCCACGTCACCAACCAACCACTTTCGCTTCAAGTACAAGTGTTCGTACAAACGCACACCAGTTTCACGCAAACCCTCACGGAGATGTGTAATGGACGAACGGTGATAGGTCCTTTTTCGACGGGGTTTGGCATGTTTTCCATTTCAATTTCCAACGGCCCCATCACGTGGACAGACCCTGCAACGAAGCTCGTGTGAGCGTCCATACACATTGTTGCTGTTCCACCATTACTCAGGTGTCACCTCCAAGGTCCCCCCCTTTCGAGATAAGAATAAAAATGAAGTGTAACCTTGTGACAATAGACCACTCGTAACAGCGCCATTAGCACCATGGCCAGTGAGTTCGGGTGGGTCCATCATCAGAAGAGGCAACCGAGTTACACCGTTACCACACGATAGTTCGGCACTTTTTCTCGTGATTGAGCGTTTCTTCTCATCCTCAACTGTATCAGCAAAGGGTTTCCAAAAGTCGCCATATCCGAAATCCAAGACCGTCATCGTTCTCAGAAGACCAAGAGCTTTCGAAAGGTATCATGAATGAAGAGGAGCTTTCGAATGGATGTTTGTTTCAACAAAATTCCAACTTTTGAGACTGGTTAGTTAGTACAAGAACCGGTCCAGTATCAACACGAGTACAAGTCAACTAATGTGTCGAAATAAAACATTTCCTCACCAGACGAAACCCATCTCATCAATCACGTGATAACAACCCCCAATCACGTGACCGTGGACCTCTTGGTGGATCTCTTCATGACTCTCCTCTTCATGACTCTCCTCTTCATGACTCTCCTCTTCATGACTCTCCTCTTCATGACTCTCACGGCTCTTCTACCCGTATGACAAGACTGTTTGACTTTTATCTCGTGGATTGTGCCTTCAAAAAATCGCCTATCGCGTTTCTACTTGGTCCCCTTATCACCATCCAGTGCCTGTCTGCCGTGATTCCCCTAACCCGATCGCCAGAGAAGGTTCGAGGCGTGCTGCTGTGGCTAGTGTGGCGCAGCTCCGGTGGCAAATGAGAAGCTCGTATGTTATTAGGGTTTGGAAAACTGTGGATGCTAGCTGTGAACCGAAGGAGGAGTTGATATAGGGGGTATCTGTAGATGAAGGGGAGAGGATCAAGACGTTTTGAAACAAGCGTTTGATTAGTCATCGGGCGTCTACGGCGTCGGGGCCCCCCCCACTTAGTAAGCGGCTCTCGACCTCCCCGCCCACTCTATATTGCTCAATTGTGCTTGCTGACTGTTCCTGCAACTCTGTCTGCAAAACTCTACCTAGACCGACCTGCGAACTTGTACACCTCACCACACACCACACACCGTACATCCAACCAAGTTCATAATGCTACTTCGAAGCCGTTTACCCGCGGTACGAAGTGTGTTTGTGGCGCGCGGAGGCGTTGCAGCCCAGCTGGCCTCCTTCACGACGTCGTCCCGGCTTCTGTTACCCCGGCGAGAGTCGGACAAGAAGCCCAAGGGTGGCAAGGACCGCGGTCGTCACAACAAGGATCACAGCAAGGACCGCAACAAGGACGTCAACAAGGCGGCCGAGGACTTCCTCAAGGACGTTCAGAGCGGCGACCCCTGGCGCAACTCGCCCAAGGCCAAGTGGAGCTACACCTGGGGCAATCTCAAGGACGATCTTGGAGGCAAGTCCAATAAGGCTAGCCAGGAGAATCCCAACAAGAACGACAACGACAACGAAAACGACAAGAACGATAAAGAGAACAAGAACAAGGACAAAAAGGATAACGACAAAAAGGACGAGAAATGGAAGGACGAAATGCCCGCGGGAGGACGAGAGATCGAAATCAAGGTCACCCCTCTGGGCATTGCCGGAACCCTGGGAGCCGTCGGAATGCTCATCTATCTGCTGACCAGCGGTGGTGAGGGATCCATGCACGAGGTCTCGTGGCCCGAGTTCCGATCCCAGTTCCTGGACAAGGGCCTGGTCGAGCGACTCACTGTGGTCAACCGAGCCTATGTCAAGATTGATCTGCGACCTGAGGGAAACACCCTGGGAAACAAGACTCTGTACCTAACCATTGGATCCCCCGAGAGCTTTGAACACAAGCTGGATGAGGCCCAGACCGAGCTCGGAGTGCCTCCCAACAGAAGACTGCCTGTCAACTACATCGAGACCACCAACTACTTTGGCCTGGTGATGGGTCTGCTGCCTGTGGCCCTGACCCTTGGATTCTTCTACTGGATGTCAAAGAAGATTGGTTCTGCCATGAGTGGCGGCGGTCTGTTTGGCGGCGCTGGCAAGTCCAAGGCCAAGCTCTTCAACAAGGACACCGACGTCAAGGTCAAGTTTGATGACGTGGCTGGCATGGGCGAAGCCAAGGAAGAGATCATGGAGTTTGTACGGTTCCTCAAGAACCCCCAGAAGTTTGAACGTCTTGGAGCCAAGATCCCCCGAGGAGCTATTCTGTCTGGACCTCCCGGTACCGGTAAGACTCTGATTGCCAAGGCTACTGCTGGTGAGGCCGGAGTCCCCTTCCTGTCTGTATCCGGATCCGAGTTTGTGGAAATGTTTGTTGGTGTTGGAGCTTCTCGAGTTCGAGATCTCTTCTCTCAGGCCCGAAAGATGGCCCCCGCTATCATTTTCGTCGATGAGATTGACGCTATTGGAAAGAAGCGAGGTTCCGGCAAGTTTGGCGGTGGCAACGACGAGCGAGAATCGACTCTGAACCAGCTGCTGGTCGAAATGGACGGTTTCTCGTCTTCTGATCATGTGATTGTTCTTGCCGGTACCAACCGACAGGATGTTCTGGACCCTGCTCTGCTTCGACCCGGCCGATTCGACCGTCATATTCAGATTGATCCCCCGGACATGGAAGGCCGAAAGCAGATTTTCGCTGTTCATCTTGCCAAGCTGACTCTGTCTCCTGAAATTAAAAAGGACATGGATTACGTCAAGGGCAAGCTAGCTACGCTGACTCCTGGCTTTGCCGGTGCCGATATCGCCAACTGCTGCAACGAGGCAGCTCTGATTGCCGCTCGAGACAACTCCGTCGATGTCAAGTTTGACCACTTTGAGCGGGCTATTGAGCGAGTCATTGCCGGCATTGAGAAGAAGAGCAAGGTTCTCAACCCCGAGGAGAAGAAGACTGTGGCCTACCATGAGGCTGGCCATGCCGTCTGTGGCTGGTTCTTTGAGCACGCAGACCCTCTTCTCAAGGTGTCTATTGTCCCCCGAGGCAAGGGTGCTCTTGGTTACGCCCAGTACCTGCCTGCGGACAACAAGCTGACTTCCCGAAACCAGCTCAAGGACCGAATGGCCATGGCTCTGGGTGGCCGAGTCTCCGAGGAGCTCCATTTCCCCTCTGTCACTTCTGGTGCTCAGGACGATTTCAAGAAGGTGACCCAGATGGCCAAGGCTATGGTCACTCAGTACGGAATGAGCGATATTGTCGGAAACGTCTTCTTCCAGCCCCGATCTGATGAGCAGATCAACAAGCCATTCTCTGAGAAGACCGCCAAGATGATTGACGACGAGGTGTCGCGAATCATTGACGAGGCCTACACCCAGTGCAAGGACATGCTGGAGAGCAAGAAGCACGAGATTGAGTTGGTGGCCCAGGAGCTGCTGACCAAGGAGGTGCTGGCCCGAGAAGACATGATTCGTCTGCTGGGCCCCAGACCCTTCCCAGAGAAGAACGAGGCGTTTGACAAGTACCTGAGTGGTACCAAGAAGCAGGAGGGCGAGGATCATGAGGGCGGTGAGACCAAGACCGCCTAGGGACTACGGTAGTAGTTGTATATAGTACGCAGAATTGCAATTGTATTAACGGACAATGGTAGCGAATCATATAACCCGAGCAAGGTGAGTATGGTTCGTGGGACAAGTAGACGGGTTGGCAAGACGAGACGTCTTTTCTGAGTTGTACTAGATGGATAGATGATGAAACACAGTGCACAGTGGAGGCAGGTTATAATGTGACAATCTACAATGGCTCTCACAGGTCTATTTGCTACTGTTTCGTGTGATAATTACACAAAATATACAGGTTCTATAAATATATTATACAAGATCCTACCGAGCTCACTCTAAGTTGATACTCGAACCAATGCCTCCCTCAACTTGTGAACTTCCTCGATAGTCGTAGTCCTCATGGCCAACCATATTACCCCTCATAATTGTAGTTTCCATAATCCATGAAACCACTCTGATACATGTCAAAGTACCACTCATTGCCCGGCCTCGAGTACATCTCAGGCAAGACATCAGGCTGGCCCTGAGGGTAGTCGACGGGAGCATAACTGGTCTGGGCAGCTGTCTGCTGCTGCTGAGGATAAAAGTCGTTCACCATCATGTTGTATGTACTATCAACAGAAGACGGCGTCGCATGTTGTTGGGGTTGCTGAGACGCCTGTTGTTGCTGCGGCTGCTGCTGCTGGTGTTGTTGCTGCGGAAGCTGCTGCTGCGGAAGCTGAGGCTGGCTGGAAGACACATTAGGAGGTATGCTTGTGGGTGTGGAGTAGACAAGCTTGTCTAGAGCAGTGTTGGGGTCCAGCTTTTCGCCAGCCTCCTGCTTCTTGTGTCGCTCCTGAGCAGTGTCCACAAATTTGACCGCCACGTCGTAAAACTCGGTGAAGACAAGCAGAAAGCTGAACTCCTCGCCGTCAGGCAGTGACTTGAGAAAGTCAATGGCAATCTTCATGAGCTCCAGATCGGCTCGAATGGTCGCTTCTAGGGGTCGCTGAAGCACGTGGATCAGCAGAATCGTAAATGCGCTCAGCAAAAAGAAGGAAAACGACCAGAAACAAGACATGAGCTTGACGGGGATGTTCCTCGTCAGATAGATTGTATTTCGAGCAGCCTGGACACAAATGGAGTGAGATGAAAACAGTCGGGGGTTGGGACTGCCCTTGTTGGTATCTTCATGAGAAGACGCGCTCATGGGAGTGCCTCCATTGGGAGTGTTTCCGGTCTTTTCTCCCTTGCCGAGAATCTTGCGATTGTACCAAGTGGGATGATATACGGAGGTTCTGTGAATAGCCGATTGCAGAAAGTAGTAGTTGAAATGTACCCACAGAGAGTTGAACTGCGAATGCCACTCGACAATCTGAGATCGCATCGAGTTGTCAGCCTCGTGAACGTCTGCATAGCCCTTGGAGCAATCAAAGACCATGACATCAGTTCCAGGCCGAAGATGAGCAGGCAGACACTCTCGCCATTGAGTCAGCTCGCGATCAAGCTTGATGATGCACTCGGAGATCTTTTCGGGCGACTTGCGTGCGGCGGATGCACTGTAGAGTTGACTGTACACTTTAGAGGAGATTCGAGACAAACCATGCAACAACTGGGCATATGACGTTTTGTGGCCGTCACCCCATTTGATGTAATCAATGCCCTCGTCATCTCCGACGTCACACGAGTCCGGCGACGGGGTGGAAACGTCGTTGTCGTGAATGACAGGGGGAATACCTGATCGTAGAGACAGATCTCGATCCATAGTGTACACCAACCACCAGTTTCGCATTCTCAACCGAGCCACTTTTGGTGGGAGGTGCGTGTATCCTTCTCGGCGATGTAATCCGAGATCTATAGCCAGTCTAGCTGCTGTGTTGACGGCCAGGTGTACTCCGTGAGGAATAGGAGTGCTGAAAAAGTACATGGCCAAAAGAAGAGTCCCCTGAAGCGCGTGGAAAGACCCTCCGAGGGACATGATGCGAGTGTAGAAGAATATCGAATTTGCCAGGGCAGCTTTTCTGAGCGTAAGTATCGACTCTCTGGTAAAACAGGCAGAAGCTACCTTGCATTCTTCCACCACCGAGTGTAGGAAGTCTGTGGTGATGAGAACGAGGGTCCAGAAGAGGTAGAGCTCCGCGTAGCCATTGGGTCTCGATCCGGGCTTGTTGTAGAAGGCTGCCACAATCTGGTTCCAGTCTTCTCTGTCCAGAATACCGGAAATGTAGTTGACGGCGTCAAAGAAGTGGTTGGTCAGGGCCTCCACGTATTCCTCGGGCATATCGGGTAGCAGCGGCTCGGGGATAGGCTCGACGAAGTCTCGGAGTTTGAGATGCATCTTTGAAAATACCTTTGTGAAGACTCCGAGCATGTGTTGTTTGATTCCTGGCGATCCTGCTCGATCAGACAGCCATTGGAGGCCTGAGGGCGAGAAGACGGCGAAGACGGAGGATCCACCGAAGGCTCGATCCTGGCACCGTTCCATCGTGTGCGAGAAGGTGTCTCCTCGTTGGGCGGAGCTGGGGGCCTTGAACGGGTAGATGAAGGATGTTGATTCGTTTTTCGACGAAGTTCGGGGTTCATCTTCGCTGTTTTCGCTGGTTTCGTTGTCGGATTCCGAGTCGCTCTGGGGAGACGCTCGTCGAGACACAAACTCGGAGCCGTTGTGTCTGAGAATGATGTCTGCGGCATCTCCCAGTCGGTCGTCACCCAGACGTCGTAGCACCTTGTCGAGCAGCGATTCAATTCTGTCGAGGCGCGACTTGGACGACCGCGAGTTGTTTTCCTTGGTCACCTTGGCCTTGCGTTTTTGCACCACCTCGGTGTACATACAGTCTCGACCCGAGCCCAGACAGTTGTTGCAGGCCGGTCTCTGGCCGTCGCATCGGGTTTTGCGCTTGCGGCAGGGCTCGCACGCCCGAGACACTCGCGGTTTCTTGGCGGTGTCTTCGTCCATGGTGAGGGTGGAGAAGTTCTGGTACTGTACAGGTTTTGGAACAAGTTTGCAATTGCAATTCCCGCTCTTGATCTTTAAAATTGACTTTGGCGGGGTCGATACCAAAGTGGATGTGAATGGTTGCTGTGTGAGACGGATTGGTGGTGCTGGCGGTGCGGCGATGGCTCCGATTGGCAACTCTGCTTTCGTGTCGACCGCTGCCCCGGAAAAGATGGCTACTGTTTACATACTCCACTACACCCATGCACCTTAGCTGGGTGGCGTAGCTACTTTACATGCACCCTGCACCCATATCTCTGACTAAGAAAAAGTGCAGCGCCGGAACAATGGCCAAACTCTGTTTCATGAGGTGGGTGTGGAGTGGATCGGAGGCGGAAGGCAGGCATAGTGTTTGTGGTTGTGGTTGTGGTTGTGGTTGTGGCTGTGGTTGTGGCTGTGGTTGTGGTTGTGGTTGTGGGAGGTCACGTGGTGGTCACGTGACCTCAGGTGTCGTCCGCCCCTATATAATTTGTGCGGTGTCCGCCCAACAGTTACTACTGTACTTGTATACATCTCCTCCACTTTGACGGTCAAACGAGCGATAAAAAAGGATAAAAAAGACATTAAAAAAGGATAAAAATTAAAAAACATAACATAAAAAAAAAACATAACATAAAAAAACATTTTATAAAAAAAGTTTCGGATCGGAGTATACACCTCGCGCAGCCCAACCGAAAAACCTACGGCTCCAGTGGGGCCGTCAGAATGACTTGATAGATGACACAAATCGGACGGTGGTTGGTTCTATCAAGTCTCTAGACCATTGTGAGTCGTCATCCACATGCAGACAACGGCTCTCTCGACAATGGTACCTTCCAAACCCGTCTATACTACCGTACAATACCCCACAATGTCACATTGGCTCGTTAGCCGCATTGTATTGTAAATATGTACGAGCCTCTTCCGTAAGATATTTGTCACGGATTAATACGAGGCTGACGACAGTGTACGTCTTGGAGGTGATAAAGAAGCGCAGTGATAAAGAAGAGGGCAAGGATAAAAAGAGGGCGAGGATGAAGAATGAGGGCAGTGTCGGTGCATGTGGAGTTATTCTGTGCAGTACAATGTGCGTACAATACAAGTGCCGTACATATTCTACTCAACGGCGTGAGTTAGTGGTATTGGTACAGTACATACGCGTATTCTATCCTCCTATCCGCGCGTATACTACGAGTATGTACTATACGATATAGTGTACGGTATATAATGAACGACTATGGTATGTATAATGTATTATGTATAATGTATAATGTATAATGGTATGCCAGACGGTCGGTTCATAAACGGCGGGTTATTGTGAACCAGTGTTTGACAATAGCAATCATAGCTGGTGACTATAGACAGGGCTGTCTGGTGACACAACCGTCCAGCAACATTCATCGCCGGCTGCACTTTCAACAGGTAAGTTTACCCGAGATGATTTCGATGAGAGTGAGAGCGAAAGAAGAGGAAAATGGGCGATCCGAAAGGTGATGATGACTAAGCGGAAAACTAGGTCGATTTGGTGTTGCACGTGATTGACCCAGAAATACAATGTCACCTACAACAGATTAGTTGTGATCGTACTCCTATAAGTACACCGTAGAGTACCTACTGTAGATCAGTCTATCTCTGACTTTCGTACAAACATTACTTTTTCCACAGTTTGCAACCACTCCGCAAATCACGCACAATCTCAAGACAGACAGCTATGACGATCGCCTCGTTTGCCAGGGTGGACATCCAGGTATACTGTCGCAGGGGAGCTGGGTAGTTGCTGCTGGAGATTGGTTCTAGTAAAGTCACAACTACGAGGAGAGCTACGAGGACTCGCACTGACTAATGTACTGTGATCGACCAAGGCAGTCTGGCCGCCACTGCTACAGACTTTCTGAGTGCTTCCGACGCTCTGCCACTCGCATTGCTCGTCATCTCGCAGCTCACTAAGTTGTTCCATAGCAGTACGGAAGCGCGGATACGAGTGAACACGACGCGTGTAATGGACGCTGGTGGTAAGCACGAGAAGATTGATACAGGTACGGTGCTTGTATGTCGATAACGGCCCATACTGTCAATTGACATCTCCAAGCATCAGCGGTTGATCAGTGAACTGCAAAGCCCGCTATTCACAAGACAAGCAGGATGACGGTATAGGTGTGTATAGTGAAGCTGTGGGAATTCCTTCGATACGAGTACATATGATTGTACTTTTACACTGCAAGTGTCAGGGCAGTCTCACTCACTGACTGAAGTTTCACAAGCTCCATCACACAAGCTCGTTCACCATAGAACAGATATCTACAAGTACCATACATCTCTTTTGACAGATGCGGCATTTCTTGAGCACTATAACAGCTAAGTGAGGGTTTTCTGAAGTTGCTCAGACGTTGCACTACAGAGAAGAGACGTCATATCCACGACTTTGGCTCTCCTCTAGGATCAGTGCACGCAAGTCCACGATATTGGAGAACCAGCTATGTTCGAGTACGATACTCGCTCGCAACTGCTCTGACTGCCCTGACTGCCATACCTTGGAGGTACCCAGCTAAACTGTGGAAGAAATAGCCGCGAGGCATGTTTCGGCTATAGACTGTATAATAATGGTGAATGGTGCTACAAAATACAACCACTACAGTCTACATGCTCATGACTGGCTTTCGTTAAATATGCACTTGCTTTTGTTTTATAAGACGCGTTCAAAATCCTTAGAACTTCTTGCCGAAGAGGATCATCTGCATCTGGTCGTACATGGAGATGACACCGGCACCGGCAACACCTCGGAGAATGTTGGCACCGCAGCCTCGGAAGAGAGAAGCAACACCCTCGGCCTTGACAATCTGGACACCGCAGTCGAAGGCAGAAGAGTACTTGACGCCAGTTCCGGAGGTCATCATCATTCGTCGTCGGATGGTATCGAGAGGGTAAGAGGCGGTAGAAGCACCGGTGGTGACGGTCCATCCGAGCAGGAAGGCGGCGAGGAAGTTGCCCTCAAGAGGACCAACGAGAACAACGGGCTTAAGGGAGTCGTAGAGACCGAAGTACAGACCTCGGTAGACAATGATACCGACAACGGAGACACCGAAACCTCGGTAGAGACCGGCAATACCGTCGGAGGCAATGGTCTTTCGGTAGACATCGATCAGACCGTTGAACTGTCGCTCACCAGCGGCCTTACCGTCCTTAGCGACGGACTTGGCATCGTTGGCAAGTCGGGTTCGGGCGAAATCAAGAGAGTAGACAAAGGCAAGAGAGGTGGCACCGGCAAGACCACCGGAAGCAAGGTTACCCATCATCCACATCCAGTAGCCCTCGGACTTCTTGAAGCCGAACATCTTCTTGAACTTGTCCTTGAAGGCAAAGTTAAGAGCCTGAGTGGGGAAGTATCGGATGACGTTGGCGGTGTTTCCTCGCCAGAAAGAAACAACACCCTCCTCGGCGGCGGTTCGCTTGAAGCAGTCAATGATACCGGCGTAGGGTCGAGAAAGTCGGCCCTGCTTGATCATCTCCTCCTGGTTCTGGATGAGGAGCTTGACTCGCTCAATAGGAGCAGCAGCGGTCTTAGAGACGGCGGCGGAAATACCGCCCATCATGAAGTCAACAAGGAAGTCGGACATTGTGTGGGAATGTGGCGTGATGCTTGAAGAAGAAAGCTGTCAAAAAATGGCGCTGGGGGGGTTTATATATTTGCCATTGGTATGGAAAAAAACATGCACATGCATGTACCTGGGTGAAGGGGACACCAAAGGGGGGGATTACCAGCCTAATACGCGGCCGATTCGGGCCGTTGGACCATCGAATTGGGTCTATGGAGTGCGGTCATCACATGGGCACCGTTTTTATTTCGTTACGCCTTCGTGAACCCCTCCAAAAGACCATTCTCCGAGCCCCCCCAGGCCCGATATTGTGACACCCTTTGGCACAAGGTTTGCACAAGAGCCGGACGTGCAAAAACTCTGTTGTGAAAAAGAAATGCAAATCAGGGCTATCTGAGACACAAGAGGGACCGGTTGGGGGCCGATTTTCGCGGCTGGAGCAACGAGTCCGACACTATCGTGCTCAATTCAACTCAATCGGAGGTCAGCGGGCCCATTTCGGGGCCCCAACGGCGACTTTCGGACCTCCGCAATCCACCAGTCATGTGCAAAAATTTTCACACACAAGGTTCACAAAAAACACCAGTGGAAAATTCAATTCCGAAACCCGAAGCTAGAGTTCGTCGTACCCAAAAGGTAGAACCGAAGATGATTCTGGACGGAGGATCGGAGCTGAAGCTTCGCGGAGGCGATGGTGGCAATGTTCGGCGGATTTGGAGCCACATCCTTGTCTTCACGCCACGGTTTGGGGACCCCAAAGCCCCCCAAATCACCTATCAAAACACCACATCCACTTACGGACACACGCATGCCAAATACAGTTTTGACCTGGAACCTAGCGTTGAGCTGCTTGTTTGGGCGGAAGTATCGGGCGACCTCGGGTATCTGTCTGACGAATGGGAGACGCGGATTTCGAGTGGGGGGGAAAAGAAGATGAGGGTCACGTGACCCGCCGCGTGTCCGAGGATGGGCCACGAAATTAGATGGAGCTGCGGTAGGGCGAAATTGGGCTCTGTTCGTTCAGCATGTCTCAGCTCTGTCTGCTTATAGTTATAGTAGCCATTGTCGACAGGAGTTGGAGCTCAGTCTGAGTTCAATAAGCCCCAAAACAAAAGAGGCCACGTCATTTGCCGATTGGAGCGCACTCGACTGTTTCTCGTGTTTTGGCGGTTCGCAACCGGCTCATAGACCGCCGTTTATAGGTCACACTACCATCTGGAGTCTCGTTTTCAGGGTTCAAAAAGATAAGCATATATCGAAGAGCCGGTGAATTTTAACCACCAATAGTGGGAAGCGAATTCTGGAGCAACACGGGCTAACTATCAACACCAACGGTACAAGTAGTGGGAAAAAGACACGAAAAACGGAAAGTGTCGGATCGAACTGATC